GATCATCAAAGATTAGGATGTATATGACTAAGTGTACTCCATAACCTCCTCAAGTGAAAGTTAATGCCTCTACCAAGGAACTACATCCACCTACACTCTTGCCTAATATAAATGTTGATTCATGGTGAGACGTTAAGAGATCTGACTTAATTGTCCCAATAGGAAACATTCTTGCTTTACTTTTGACAATTAAGGATTTTTGCCAAAGGCCACCAAGATTTCAAATCACATGCAAAACAACATGCAACATTCTTCAGTAATTTATCAACATACACTTCTATACTGTGTCCCTTCAAGATGTGGGCGATCATGGTTCTCCATGTCCTTTATAGCTCTTAGTGAAGTTAACACAATACAGATTTTATTTATTAATAAGGTTAACACACACATGCAAATTTTTATCTATTTATATCTATATATTGTATTTGGTGGTATATAAGAGCCCACTCCACCATTTCAGTGAGGAATATTAAAATATTTTAGTGAATTCCCATCAACTTTGCATAAACCACCCAAGAGATATTTTTTAACATGTTTTTTTTTTTTTTTAAATTTCTAAGGAACAAAAATATGGATCTTATATGTGATATATGGTACATAACTTATTGTGGTAATCTCATAGATCTTTATACCTGTAGTGCACTTGATTCTCATTTTGTGCCATTCCCCCACCCCCTACACACATACTTGTGACATAGTTCTAAACTAAGTTTGGTAAACAGCTACTCTAGTGAGTTTGATCTTCACTGGGTGTTCAAAACTTACATTCTTATCCCAGAGCAGAATCAGATTGTGTGTGTGAGAGAGAGAGAGATCAATAGCATAGTATGCTCAAAAAGTAATCAACCAAGAAAGAACAAAACTGATATGCTACACACACACACACACACACACTTCTCTGGGAGTAGGAATTTTATTGTCTTCCATTATTATTTTTACCTAGTATTTAAACTGTAAATTACAAATTTCAGAAATGGTAAACTACTAAAGCAGTAGAGATTCAATCAGAGAAATAGCAAGAAGCCAGTGTCATATTTAGCTTCTCAATCATTCTCTAACAAAAGCTTTGAATAAAGGAAGGTAACGAAAGATGTTCGAATTATATTTCAATGGTTTGACCATAAAGATGTAAATTGCCGTTATTTTAGAACTGTTTATTACAATTGGTAAGTTTCCAACACAAGGGTGGATTATAAATCCATAGCCTGATATATAGTTACAAGTTCAATATTGATCTGAAGATTTCACTATATAATGTCTGATCTATGTGATTAATATTCAGCACTGAATTAAGTGCATTGACAAAGAAATTATATGTAAAATAAATGTCCTTTTTATGATGAAGCGACAGACTTTGATAACAAAACCAATTATGTACACACAAACTAACATAAAAACATTTTCTGTCTGAATTTCTGAGATGGGAAGTTTACATTATTTACATTTGGACTAATATTCTCATCTTTGTTATGTGATACTAACAACAAAGATGAGGATATTAGTCCAAATGTAAATAATTTAAAAAAAAAAAAAAATCAAATCAATATTCTTAAAACATGCATACGTATAAGAAGACACCAAAAACATAAATTGTATTTTTATTTAAATGACTTTTCAAGTCTTTATTTTAGAGAAAAAAAATCCTTGTACACATGGATCTCATTTTGAATGCTAGGAATTTTATTCACTGAATTATTTAAAAATGAAGCCAACCTTGTCTTCATTGTTTTCAATAATTTCTCTATCCTCAGTCACTTGAATCTTGTAATCTTCGAGTGTCACCTATTGGCATTTACACTGTCAAGATATTTCTATCACCACCTCAATCTAAATAAGTCACATCTTCAAAAACTTGTGTTAACAAAAAACTATTTTAGTCAGGTTCAAAACAAGAAAAAAAAATCCTGAAGTGTATCAATCTGTGTAACCTACAGAGAATTGTGAACTGAACCATGTTCTCGTTCCATTGTTTATATCTTGGAATATAGTCTGGTTATTATTTTTATTTAGTACTGCTCAGTTATTGCCATTTCTACTGAGTGCAAGTACACACTACCCAACTGAGGGATTGACCGTTGTGATAACAAAAACAAAGATGAGGACAATAGTCTGAATATAAATAGTGTGGATAATAAATCATCTCAAAAATTCAGATAGAAAGAAAAAGTGAATAAAAGAAAAACTAACATACATAAATAATTATGAAATCTATATAAAATTTGTACATCAACCTCATAAAAAAACAAAATGAAAATTAAACTAATGAGCACCCCCCCTCTCGCTTCAAAGTTGGTCTTATCACTAAAGCAACATTTTAATATATTGCCAGTGTAACATCATATTCAGCCAACACCTGCATTCCAAATACCCACACATTCGGTTATCACTAATGTTTACTATCTGATGAAGAAATTAACAATATACTTGCTCCCAAATGACAAAAATAGCCATTTTTTTTTTTTAAATCTAAGTTGAGTCGTTCATTATTTGACCCTATTAAATACATCTCCAGTTTAATCTTCAATGTCAAAACCATTCTATCATGCTGCCAAAGATTGAAAAATAAACATACTGCATGTTGGCAAAAGAATATATCAACAAAAATTGAACTGAGAAGATATATTCTATTAAACAGGCATCTCTATCAAAATAAATATGATACTTTGTGTGGGCTGTATGTATGTGATATGTTTATATTAGATTAAATAATATGTATTATTATATATACACCTATATAGAGAAAAAAAGAAACACCTGGAGAAATTCCACCAACTGACATCTCATGTTAAATTATATATTACATGATTTCAAGATGAGATAACTCAAGATATGGGCAGTGGAATGAGAACAATTTAACCCCATAGATTAAATAAAGGGTTCAGTTCCAAATTCCCTGAAGGTTACCCAGATTAACAGACACCTGAAGAAGGCTGGAGATTACAATGAATGAAATGTTTGCATAACAACAAAAGATGAGGACATTAGTCTGAATGTCAATAATATTTACTAATTTCTTTTACTATTAAAAATTTTTTTTTTTTTTTAAATAATAAAAAGAAAAAGTATAACTTTAATTACAAAAAACTTTTTATTTTAAACTTATCTTATTTTTGGGGGCCTATCCCAAGTTTTGTTAACTTGATCAAATCTATATTTTTGTATTTATAATAAAAATAAAAAAAATCTTGAAAATGTGTGTGCATGTATTATGTCCAGATCAGGTGAACAACAAAATCAAATGGATACTTGACCTGAAATTTGGTGCTTTTGCTTTTTTTTTTTTTTTCTTTTTTAATTTTTTTTTTATTAACAGAATGATGTATATAGAATCATTCAAAATTGTTAATGAGATTAAAAGCTTATTTTAAAAGGTATTTAATAAATGATTATCAGGTAGAATTAGTCAAACTTCTTTTTGACTTGCTATGATTGTTCATTTAAGAAACAATACATTTCAACAGAAGTAGAAGGGATATATGTTGATTTATATTGACATCTTGCTAAATTATTTGGGCAAAACATAAGCCTAGATAATACATACAGCTAACAACGTGTTCAATTATTTGAAATCCTTTTAAAATTATAATTATCCTGTTGATATATGATAGGATACAGAAAAGTTTACCACCAACAACTTCAGGCTAAGAACTTTTTGACAGGTCCACAATGCATAATTTAAATAAAATAGAAATTAGTCTATTTTTATTTATTTTTCTACAAAAAGCTCCCAGAAAGAATCCAAAAGTGGTAAAATAAATGTTATTGTCATTTGACTAAAATGATATTAAATATTAATATCATATGAATCCATGTCCATTTTACTCACTAGACCAAAAAGATAAAAATGATTTAGTGATACAAGACATTTGATAGATTATTATTAGATAGTTATTAACAATATAAACAATTCATCAAACATCACTTGCCTTCTACCTTCTTTACTTTAAAGTGATCTACAATGGTCAAAACTACTCAGAACACTATACACAAATTCATCAACGTCCTTTCCACACATCAAACAACCTATTCAACACCAAGAAAAACTCACCAAAAGGCATCACAGACATTTACTGTCTGTTCTGTTTAAGAAAACCTGTTTAAATGAAGATTTACTGCCTAAATACATTACATTTAATTATATATAACCCTGGACTCTAGCAATGTACAATTTTATAGATCAGGTCACCAAATTTAAGGCAACCCATTATCAGATCCATGGAATATGGGTGTTATTTTGACGATATTAAAAATATTATTTGACCTGATTAACTCTCGTTATGGTCTTATTTACAAAATTCAAATAGAGGTTAGTGTTTAAAGGGCTGCTTTAAAGTTCTTGAAAGCAGGTTACAATAAACAATATTTCAATGGGCCATGAGCTGAATGGATTTTATTCACTAAGTAAAGTAAGAAATTTTAAACCAGACTAAATTTAAAATAAAAACAATGTCCTCTCTCTCGATATATATATGTTACAAGAATGCTATGACCCTTATTGTGGCTCTCCAGATTCCTTTTCTTTATTATCTGTTAACTGTCAAGACAGTGAAGTCATTTCCTGTTGCCTTCTCTGCAGTTGTCAATTCAGAGTTTTCCTTCTCCTAGACTGACTGCCGACCAAAGCTCAAGAACCCAATCTACCCTGCAATTTAATGCATAGTTGGGACCCTCTTTATTTAAAATTTTTAAAAGTAACAGAATAAGATTTCAAAATGTAATGAGTTAGTTTAAAATTTTAGGTAACATTATTTCAAGAAGCATTATCAATAAGACTTCCAAAAATGGTTTATAAGGGAAAAAAATCAAATGTAAAATGTGCTTTTATATATATATATATATATATATATATATATATATATATATATATATATATATATATATATATATATATATATGAATTGATGAAAATTTATTTAGCTTATGTAACAAATATAATCTCCTTTTATTTAATGGTGAATATTCACATACATTGAACATTATACAATTTTCAGATTAGGATTAGGATTACAACAGTTCCTATATGATCACCAAAGTTAAGCAATGTTGAGCCTGGTCAGTACCTAGATAGGGAACCACTTGGGAATACCAGGTGCTGTAAGTTTGGATGTGCAGGTGATCTAATGGATAATGGCTCAGAATTGTTAACAGGAATGCTGAGTTCCAATTTCAGTTGGGTTTGTTATATTCATTTACATGGAAATATGCTTTTGGTAAAGTGTATGAATCCACCTCTTCTGCCTCCCCACAGCTATCAGTTAATTAGTAAAAACCTGTATCATTAAATCATTATTATTTCATAAACAAAAAAATCTTAGAATATAAAAATATTTTCTGGCTTTAAATAATCCACTAAGTGTTGATAAGCTGTAGAAAAATCAGCAATCAAGATTAAAATTAGTCACCCATTATATATATATATATATATATATATATATATATATATATATATATATATATATATATATATTTAAATATGTTAGAAACGGTACAAAAAGCGTATTAAGGCATTAAAAACAAGAAATTTTATATTGTAGGCGATGATAGATTTAAAACAAAATACACACCAGTCGACCATATTAATTCTGTTATTTACCATTTCAAATGTAGTTGTGGATGCGACTACATGGGTAGAACGACACAGCGGTTGGCCGTTAGAATTAAACAACACGTACCTGCTATAATGCTGAACAAAAAATTTTCTTTGGGCGATACCATTCGTAACACATATGGGTCTTCGATTACGGATCACTTTATAAAGAATCCTACTTGTGCGATGGATTTCAGTGTGAACTGGTTTTCCGTTTTGGCCAGTTCGCATTCATTATTCCATCTTAAGGTGTTGGAGTCGCTTTACATCAGGTCCAGGCAACCTGCTCTTTGCAAACAAAGATTGTTTGCTTGGACTTGCTGTGCTGCGCTTCTAGCATCTTGGTTGGTATAATTTTTTATAATTTTTTTTTCTTCCTGTCCACTCATTCATGTCATCCATGACAGACTTTTCCTCCCCCCCCCCATAATTTTAGTTCCCCGTTAACAGTTCTGATGAGAGGGGACAAAACCGGTCAACTGGTGTGTGTTTTGTTTTTTCTTGTTTTTAATGCCTATATATATATATATATATATATATATACATACACACACACACAAAAAAACTACCACAGAACCTATCAAAAGTTATGGAATTATTTATGGATGGATCATCATTTCTACTGGTGTTGGGGTATATTGCCCTGCATAGGATCAGATTGAGGTATCTGTGTACTCCGAGAAAAGTGATATATATGGATACATATTGTTTTTTTTATATATGTTTGAATAAGTTCTGTTTTTCTTCTTATTCTGAAATGTTTTGCAACTTGTGATAGGGTAGGTAAAACATAGAGGGTGGAGGAATAGATTCTTGCTCTATTTTCAGCTTCATAGATAAAGCAGCAGAGTAAAAATAAATGGTGATGCCACTAAAACAACCATCTGGGAATCCCAAACTGTGCACCCTCCTAAGAAAGCACTTGTTTGTGAACATAGTAGCAAAGAATCTGCTTGGGGTAATGTTAGTAAATCTCAAACAGAACTAGTAAAAGACAAAAAAGAAAATCCCTTGCCAACAGCGCAAGATCAACATTTATCTATTTAATTGTTATGCAACATTGATTCTTTTTACCGATTCTTTCTGTATAGTAATAACAGATGCAACAAAATAAAAATTTTAGAATGGTGCATACAAATGCATCTATGATGCTTCAAACAAAATATCTAAATTAATTTCAATTGAATATTTGAATTTGAATCTAACCAAGCATACAGGGGAAATTTCAAGTGATTTCTTAAGATTGGGTTATATTTTGGAAAGAAAAATCATGATCAGAGCTGGAAAAAACATTTAAAGCTTAATTATCAAACTTTAATATTTTGTTTTTTTAAAGTTTACAGTCTCAACCTTATTGGAAATATAATCCATTTTCTGTCTGAACTTTTGAGATGAAGAATTATCATTATTTACACTATTTATATTCACACAATTGTCCACAGAACATTTCAGACATTTTGCCCTCTGGTCTTCATCAGGCATATATTGATTGTGGTAACCTATACAGAATTCTCACCTGAACCTGTTATTTAATCTATGGGGGTAGAGTACTCTCATTCCACAAACTGTCTGGCTAGGGACTGAACTCACAATCCCTAGCCAGACAGTTTGTACTTGCACTCAGTGGAAGGCATGTAATAATTAAGCAGTACGAAAAAGAGAAATAAGAACTAGACAATATCCCTAGACATGGGCAGTGGAATGAGAACAGTCTACCCCCTACAGATTAAATACAGTATTTAGTTGAGGATTCGCTGTAGGTTATCCAGATTGATATATACCTGATAAAAGACCAGAAGGGACAATGTCCAAAACATTGTGATGACAAAGACAATAGTTCAAATATAAATAGAGCAAATAATAATCAGTTTTGTTTTAAGATATATAAAAAGAACCTTCATAATAATAAAAAAAAAAGTAAACTTTGTATAAATACTGACTAAAATCAATTTTGGCATCTCAGATAGAAAAATGAATATCTGTTTTGTGATAATACTGTCCCAGGCATATGTTTCATTAATAAAAATTAACATATAATAACTAACGTATATACTCATGTATAAGCCAACCAAACGTATAGTGCAACTTCTTAATTTTTTTGCATGAATTTTAACCCCTACAGAAAAAAAATTACCTCTGTATAGTGCAACCCCTTATTTTTTTTGCATTAAATAAAAAAAAAATGATCATAAAAAGTCACAATGATAAATTGCAATTAAATTAATTAGTAAATTAAATCCAGTTAGTAAATAAAATAAACTCAAGAAATTGAAGTAAATTATTTGAAAACTTTTTTTTTTTTTTTTTTTTTTTACAAATTACTAATAACATTCCCATATATAAAAATCACACTCTCTTGGTCACACTATTGTATATAGTGAAACCAAAATAGGTCTTTGTTCTGCTTTTTGTTTATGTTCCAAATATAATCTGTTTCAATCCATAATACTTAAAAATAATAAGATGGAACACTTCAAGATTTGTTTTCTGATGCTAATTTTTTCAGGATTTTTCAATTTTATCAAGCAAAAGTGTAAAGAAAAAATAAATGCTTCATTAGCTACTTATATAATTTCTAAGAAATTAATGAATTTTTAAAAAATTTTAATACAACATAATTTTTTTTATTACTCTAAACATTGGTTTTGTGAATACACATGACTGAATAGATGCCATTTTTGTTTTATTTTAAACAGTGTGGATTACATCTATCAGCCTGAACATTAGATTCAAACCTGTGTCCCACTTAGAGGAAACCCTGTCTGATCTGGCATGTTTTAGGACCTTGCTGGGCTATAACACTCATGAGCACTTTAACAGATCAGACAATGGTTTCTCTTACAAAGTGGAACACAGGTTTGAACCCTGCCAGAACACATTTTCTTTAATAATTATTTCAAATTCACATGCTGGTAGATATAATTCACATTGTTTAAAATAAATTTAAAAAACAGGAAGTCTACTGAAACATGTGTATCCACAAAAATTACATTTAGAGTTATTTATTATATATATATATATATATATATATATATATATATATATATATATAATGGGGGTGGTGAGATGCCCACATATTAGATAAAATAAGGTCAGGCACTTTTTCAAGACTTATGAACTAATTATGATGACAATTTATTATAAATCAATTAGTAACTTTAATAAATAAATTATTCAAATATCTACCAGAAATGACAAGAAAATTTTCTAACCAAAAGTTGTCATACTCAGTTGATTGAAGGAAAACCTGAATATACCATTTGTAAATAAGAATTGCTTTAAAAAAATAAATCCATATTTATGATCACATTACAGTGGAGCCTATGAGCAGTAGCAGCAGCTAAAATTAACACAATGTAACATAGAAATTCATACAAAAATAGAAAAGTTTCAACAAAACTCATAAAGGTGAATTTTGAACTCTAGAAAGTAGAATATTTAAGCACAATCATGTTATCATTCTTAAAGGAATAAACAACAACAAAGTTTTTCTTTGAATAAACAATGGTATCTGGACATTCCATCCAATACCTTAGTATTTCACCTAAACAGATGCAAGAAGAAAAAGTAAGTAAGAGATTCAGTTTATCCTTGTAGGTGTATATCATGTTCTTTGCACCACAGCTGCCATGGAGTATATATTACCATTTTAGTAGACTGCTAAGAATAGCCTAACTATACAAGGTGCAGAGTCATTACTACTATGATTGCTGCTGCCACTGTCAATATGTATATAACATGGTAGGTTGTTACAACAATAGAAGAAACATTTACAAAACAGAAACATTGAAAATAACCTTCAAGATCTTTTCCATTACTTTTTAATGTAAGTTTTTACAGTAAATTAGTGGCTGATGAATTAGAGTGGAAATTATAAAATCTAAGATCAATTCTACTTAGCCAAAAATGTGTTAACTAACTAGAAAGATACCAAATAATAGATTTAGTCAGATCAATCACTAAAAAGTAAAAAAAAAAAAAAAGTGTTAGTGAAAAGCTCTTATGATGTTCAGTTCAACTTTGGGTTTCAGTATGGATATAGTCCTACTTTTCATAAATGATATTTTAGGTTTGTTTTCTGATTTTTGCAATGGTTCCGATACAATTTCAATTTCTACAAACAAAATTAACAAGCATTCTTTTTATGAACTGAAACAGACTCACTGTACAAGTATGAACATCAAAATGTTTTCCTGTATTTTTTTTTTAAGAATTGTTTGACCCCAAGCAAAGCTATAAAGCCACTAAGATGGAAAGTGTTACTTAGAGTGAAGGAAACTGGGAAATAATTACTGAGGAGAAAGAACAATAAAAGAAAAAAAGAATATGATTCAAGGAGACAGAAGATAACAATTGACATTGCATTTCAATACTACTCTATCACTATTTCCATAGAACATATTCTGACAAGCTATATTCCTTAGTCTCAACAGGTCTAATCTTCACCATTAAGAGGTGCCATGCTATGTACACTGTAGCAAACCACTGTCATTCCCTTTGCAATCCATTAG